GCTGGTCTTCTGGAACAGTGCCCAACATCAGCCCAGTGTCTTACACTACGACCTGGACAGCTCATCGAGGATGCACATCATGACGCTGCACATTTTGCTGGAGGACACGAAAGCGTTCGGCGAACACCACGTCATGCTGGTCTTTAAACGCGGTTCCGACGAAATACGCTTCAACGTGACCGACGCCGGGCACAAGCCGGTGTTTTTGGATTTTCCGGCGTTCGGCCACGACACCGCAGACGTGTCCCTCGAAAGCTGCGACTTTCTTACCGGTCATTGTACTCGAAAGTACTTGTCGAAAGTACCCCTGACTATGGGCGCGATTGCGCTGATAGCTCTACCGAAGGACAAAAACGTCCATTTCGTCATGCTAGCCCCCGGCAACGTTGTGTCCATCCTGTGGCAGGTGCCGCAGTTGGTTCTAATCACACTCGGCGAACTTCTCTTCTCCATTTCCGGCCTGGACTTTGCCTACTCTCAGGCCGACGACAGTATGAAGTCGATTCTCACAGCCCTGTGGCTGCTGACTGTCTTCCTCGGCAACATCTGCACAATGCTTATTTCTGGCACTAACATCTTTCCCAATCCGTCCATCGAATTCTTCACCTACGTTGGCCTGATGCTAATCGTCCTTGTGATCTTCGCTGCTCTCGCCAGACGTTATCAGTACCTAAGCAAAGGCAGTGGTGAAATGCATCTTAAAACGTAGCACCTGCTTATGCCTACATACTTCGTGTTGTACCGTGATGTACAGAACTTTAAAAATGAACAACGTGTCGACTTAACGCAATTTACTCTGTCGCAGCACCTTCCATCAATATATGGCAACTGGTCATCGATCCAATATGCTTGCAGGCACGCCCACACGTTGTTTCCAAAGATATGATCAACGGCTTTCTTCAAGTTCACTAATCACATGTAGATCGGACGAGAGAATTCTCAAAATTTGTCAACACATGATTTAAAGCGAAGCTCTAGTTAGAGGTACTTCGCCTGACCTGAATCCGCACCTCTCTTCTTGGATCTTAGAATCAGCTATTTCGCCACATCTCCATTCCAACATCTTTCGAAGACCTTCGCAGTGAGGCTCCATAAGGTAATGCCCCAATGATCGGAACAATACACATGGACTCTGTTCTTGAACAACGTTAGTGCCACCCCAGTTCTTCAGTGCACCGCAGGTGGGATTTAAATGGAAAATACAACAAGATGATTACGAACATGGACATGCGAAAGGCACACAGGGTCCTTTACCAAATAATGGTCGGCTTTTTATTCCTCATTGATTTTTCTGCATATCATGACGACTGAAAACTACGGTGGTGTAATAGGCAAGAAGAGCTTATACAATTACGCGCGTAATTATATCTCTTCAATGCACGTTTCACATTTTTCAAACTAACTATTCTTCCGCGATTCATATCAACAGACGCTTCGTTAGAAGCTCTTCACCAAACATGAGCAAGTAATGAATTTAAGGATATTATATTCTGCACACTTCTCGTCTCACGTGGCTTGGCTATTAAACCCCTGTCGGTAATATCGGTAACTCTGTCCGACCATAGATGATCAAAAGACGATAGTTCCACATGGTGCCAAAAATCTGCTTGAGAAGCTGGTCCATCAATTTAGGTATAGGAACAAAGCCTTATTTGATATAAAGGTGGTCCGTATAGATGTGATAAAATCGTGAGAAACCACCACTGGTCCCAGACGCGTTGAAGGACGTAACGTTGGGAAACCTACCACTTGAGGTAGAGGTGTTTGTGAGGCAGAAAATGACCTTCTGTGAATCATATATACAACAATATGAATATATCACCGTGTTGCACCAGAGAACACGTTGCCCAATACAAATGTACAACATCCGTTTAGATTAGTCACACATCACAAATCTGGTTTACTTTACCGAATAACAAATTACCGGTGTGGGCCGGTCCAACCAGTCAGAGCTGACATTAATGCTGCATTACGAATGAAGGCACAATAACCAGTCAGTCGCACACTACTGAAAGCTCGTCAGTCAGACATGTGCTGCAATCAGAAGTGCATCGCTGCATATTGCATGCAGACAACATCATTAATAACCTGACAGACGATGTAGAACACAGGAGCAATTACAAAGCAATGACCTTGCGCAGGTACTGCGTCCTCGTCTAAACTCCATCAGTCATCCATCGCATGTTATTCTAGTACGGTATGGTACTCAATTTTTGGTACTTTCCCATTATTTTTTTGCCGCCAGTGAAACTCTGTAGCCCGTTCTCACTGTAAGCAACTTTTTCACAAATTAATGTGGTAAAAAGTACGTGGACCCTGGCTTAACGTAGGTCCCTCAAAATCACTAGCAGAGCATTTAAGGATGCGTATGACCAACCTCATTTAAAGACGTTTGTTGAGAACATCGCCATATGCTTGATTTGAAAATGTAGAAAGTAAGAAGCTCATTGGCAAGGATACATAGCTTATGCTCATTCGGCATTTCCATTTCTTAATCTTCACATCTACTGAAGCCATCTGTGTCCGCCAGACAAGAGTCATTTTTTCAGCACATGGTCATAACGCTGAACAATACCACACACTTGTCACTGAACACTGTAAGGATCTTGATCATGGTTCAAACATGGAGGAGTAGGAGCTGTGTCCGTTTCATTACTGAACAAAAATCTACTGCACGAGAAAGATCGCAGTTCAGGATTCAAATAACTCGTTTATCTCAGACATACCAATGTATTTGCAGTTGTCAACAGTTTACTGCTTAAACAATATCGTCAAACAATTTCATTCTTTCAAAATAAGGAAGCGTGCATCTTAGACAATATAAATATTAAAATAAATACACAGCAAGTGAATTATTACTTTATACCAATACAGTGGCTTTACGGGTGACAATCGAACTGTTTATTTAATTCAAACAATTTTTTTCACGACCACGGTACATTCCTGGCTTCTACAAAACAAGGGAACAGCTGCATGTTGTACAACGCTGAGAAGAAAGTGAAGCCAATGATACGGTGGGATCATCTGCTCCTGTCGAGCCCAGCACATCTAACGATTAGCGAAAACAAAAAAGGATGAAACGCTTCCGTTGCGCTTATAAGGTGCATGAAGGCATTTCTTGTCAGAGAGTTAAGCAATTCGTTTTGCAGCCACAGGTATACACGAAAATCACGAGAAAGCATAGAACATGAGAAAAATCACCCGAGAACAAGGTAACGTCGCACAGCTAAACAAATCGGTGAAAACACGTTAAGCTCGTTGAGTCAATCTGTGCTCCATCAGCTAGATATGGGCCAACTACGGACTGCAAATTTTGACGGTAAGCTAACAACCTGAGTCTCGAATAAGGCATCCTCAGTTGTTCATTTCAATTTCGTTGCCCATCTGACCGAAGAATTTTAAAAATGAGAGTAGCAGAGGCAAATTAATGTTCTGGGTACTGAAAACAGAAGGCAACTGCATTCACAGGGTTCAGAAAGAAACCTTCGCTGACAACTAACATACGTGAATTACATTGTTTGGGAAATCAATCGTCTTACCCTTAGTGAATGGGTATAGACTGACTGAAATCGGGCGAACTACACCGTAGCACGTTTGACTCTGTTCGCCAATGGGCATAGTGAAGTAAGTAATTCGAATAGGTGACAAAAAACGAAGTGACAAAATTTACATCAGCTGGCGAATAAAAATGAAACACAATACGATTGGTAAAGCACAAATACAACTCCAAATATTTTAGGCAACGCTTGCATCAAGATAAGATAAATGTTACGCCTATCACTTACGGCTTGAAACGATCGCCGTGAGGTACTCGGATCGGTAGGTCAAGCTACATTGTCTCTTAACAAGAATCAAACTACTTTATACCGATACTGCGGTAGTGTAAGACCGATGTAAATACACCTTGCTATACCATAACACTGCACCGCCCTACGCTTCCAGTAAACGAGGAATCATTAAAGCAGGCCACGAGACCATGGCATTAAAACGCCTACAGTGCGGAGGTCACATGCATAGTATCACATATAGCTTCGGCAAAATGTATATGTCTTAATAGGAATTAGACAACTAACAACAGCCGTTTCGCACAACCACCGTATTGTGTATCAGGCAATCCATCCGTTAAATTCTTCAGTGAAATTTAATCTTTAATCCAACACAACCTTATAACGGAGAAGCACGTCCAACAAAGGTAATTACTGGGCAGTATAGCTGACCAAAGATACAGTTTCGGTCACTAATCTTGCACTGACTGGCGAACCGAAAGGAGCAGGCCTTCGCGTGCGTACGAAACTCGCTCTCTTTCGGCCTTCTAGTAAGACAAACGTACAAAGAATTACAGAAACGGCGTGAAACGGAAGCAGAACAACGATGACAAAAACCATGGCAAACAGGCGACGACGACGACGAACTACGGATGGTGTATGACAAAATACAAGCGATGAACAGAAACTTTCGATCGGCATCAAAGGCCAAATGGCCGACCTGCACGTAACAAACATAGATGTCATTCCAATCGCTGTACACAGCACAACGTACATCTGCGCAACATGACGTATAAATAGCAGAGGTGTAGCAACGCGTAAATAACTAATAGAAGAAAACAGTACAGCAACGACCGCTAAATCATTACACTGCTCGGTAGACCACGAGCAACCAATGATGATAACATGATAAACAGATGATGAAAAGCGAACAGCACATTGTAGTTTACGACGGTGGTCACTGCCTATCCGGTTTGGTGGCCGGCTCTCGGCAGCCACATGCGACAGCTGCCAACGCCGCTGATGCTGGACTGCACATTCAAATTAAACACTAGACAATTGTAGATACGGCGCCCTGGAAGCGTCCTAAAAAGAAGAAAACACACGTACTTTAACAAGACGGGGATGGCTTGATGACAACGGAACACACGCTTTATTACACTTTATCACACAGAGCAAGGCAGCCTCAGTGCTTATGCTTTCTTTCTAAGCGTGCTTTAAAACAGTTACTGGTAAAAAATTACATCATCTTAACAATGGCAAGTACTAATCCTACACAAACTACAACAAAGGCTAGGCGACGCGAGGCTAAGAAAAGGATCGATCTTCCCGTTACGTTCAAACATCGTGACGCAAACGAGACAACCATAAAAGACGAGAAAATGGTGAGGAAACAACACCCGCCGCCGCAGGAAAGTTTCAGACGCAACGAGCGAGCGAACGAATCAGACAAAACAACAATCAACAAACAATAGTATTACTACGGTAAAATTTCAGCGTCAACAAATACCCACGCTTTATTCATCAGGTATTTGCGCCGCCTGCTTCTTCTTCTTGTCCTTCTTGCCGCGAAGAAACGCGGGAGTCGAGAACATTTTCTTCTTTTTCTCTTTCTTTTCATCTGTCTTCCCATGTCTTTCTTCCATCGCCTAAACATAAAACCCATTGTCAATAGATCCCTATGGTCATAGCAACGGTTCGTAAGGATAATTTCTTTCGACCTTTCATCAGGATATTTGAGAAACAAGCGAGAACGCAAAGCATTCGGATCCTTATTTCCTCAATCTATGTGATCGCTCACCTACCAATCTCGCAAATGCAAAATTTCAAAATAATTAAGTTCATAAAAAGCATCACACAAGGTTGTCTTCCTGCAGTGGATTAAAACAAGCAGGCAACGAATTAACCGGATGATTTTGACAAAAGTACGAAATCAATTTCGTTC